TTTTCTCTCCGAATGAAACGAGACGAGGAAAGTCAAATAAGGCTGGTCGTTCGAGCTTCTTGCGCGTTTCAAGTTCGAAAAAGAGGAACGAAGGAGAAAACTGCTAGGTGTTTTGTCGGGCATTCGTCCAGAAATTCCTACAGTTGATATGATTACCAGACAGATGCCCCGGGGCTGCATTTTCGTTTCCTCGGTTCTTGTTGCCTGGATATCTTTGATCTTCTAAAGCGTTGCATCGGGCGACGCATCTGAAATGGAAGAGAACAATGCATTTAAATGGGACGATTCGAGGTGGAAGCCGTAGCTGGGTCGCGTGTTCTACTCTCGTTCGAGCATTAGGCTCTGAAACAATCCGAGAACGTTTCCTCGCCTGTGTCGTCCGAGCGAACGAATTTTTTCGCACGGGCCACTTAGAAATATTAATTCTCGGGAGCTCGACGTGAATTCGAGCACGAAAGTCGGATAAAAATGGCGTTAAGAAGTTGGTAACTTTAACGATTCTTTTGTACAAGTTTAACAAACCTGTAGTGTTACACTTAACTTAAAAATGTGTTAAATCTCCATTTATCGTTTTTGTATTAACACGTATCCATTCGTTAAATAAGAACACAAACGTCTCGTTAAAAATTAACACATATAGTCAGTAACTTCAACAAAATTCTTACGTTAATTACCTATAGTATTTTGTGTTAATATTTAGATATCATTGAAAATTTGTTGTATTTGTAACTTTTCACTATTTCGTCACAAAACGTTTTTTGAAATCATATAACACATTCAACATTAGTTAAGCCTACACTCGATTGTGTAAAATAATCAGCGTTAAGCATTTAACCAACGGATTTTTATACGCAAGTACACAAAATTGTCAACTGTGTACAATTATGGGACCGAGAGTAAATAATTCCTTTTCTAATACGAAGATACATGTTGTAGCCATCCTTTTGGACCTCGCCCATCCTGGTAGCGTCAACAGCTGATACGCGGTCAGCCACCGTTGCTTTTGCCTTTGCGCGAAACTTTCCGTTCTCGCGGGTGACAAACGAGGAGCAGAAGCGGCAACAAATCGACACTTCCCCGCGAAGCACCGTCCCGAAAAAGCACATGGTTCGGCAGATGTTGCATCCGTTCGTTTCCACACGTCGTATCCCCGTATTTAAACACCGTCCGCGAAACTTCCTCTCGTCGCGCGCAGCCTTTCGCTCCGTTTTATGCGCGCCCAGGGCCCAGCGATTTTTCGACCATAAAAACGCGGTCGGAGCCGCGCGTCGTCGCCCGCAGCGTTTCGCAATTTGCCCCGACATCGCGGAAACGTCAACTGCAACAATCAGCATCGCGTCCCAGGGGCGCGATGGACATTCCTTGCGACCTGCCAGGGCCGCAATTTATTATGCATTCCGTGAACAGTGGCGATTACGGAATCGCGCGACAGGAACGGAATACCTTGAGGAACTGAGCGCGAGCTTCGAGGTAGCACAATGCTCCAGTTAAGGTGTTCCTGTTGGATCGTAGAACGGTTTTATTCGAATCGAAATCTTCCGGATGAAACAGAAAAGAATACTTTTTCATATAGATAGTTCGATGAAATTTAAAAGAATAGTGTTTGCAGTTCGTTACAGCGGTTTTTAATTATTCGTAGGATACGAGTTGTATTAAATTTAAGGCTTTAGAAGGGAAGATATCAATCCTTTGCATTCGAGGGACGACTTAGAAGGGACGGTCTTTGCGTATTTTAGATTTCGTCGAATCTCGAACTGTTCGGAGCGATTTGGTTCATCGGCCCTTTGACAGCGAAGGGCGTGTATATACCCCATCGAAAAACCAGCTCAGAGAAATGTTTATATTCGCTCTACCAATTTTTAAAAAATGTCAGCTTGTAGAGGATGATGAAACGAAACTTTGTTATATTTACAGTTTATTCATAGAGCGCTTAGTTTCGAAAATAAAAATTGAAAAGATAGAAGATCGTTACCAAAATTGAATTTCAGGAAAAAGGTCTTCTAAGTTTTCAATTTTTATTTTTGAAACTGAACGTCGTACGAATAAACTGTAAATATAAAAAAGTTTCGTTTTGCCATTCTCTATAAGGTGACATTTCTTTTTATATTCGATTGTTCGACTGTTATCTTTCCTTTGAGATAACAGCAACAGGATCAGACCATTGCGACACCTCAGGAAAAAGGTCTTCTAAGTTTTCAATTTTTATTTTACAAACTAAACGTCGTATGAATAAACTGTAAATATAAAAAAGTTTCATTTTGCCATTCTCTTTAAGCTGATATTTTTTGTTTATAATTCACACTTCTACGGCTCTTGGAATTTCCAGTATTAATAGTCCCGCAGTGAAAGGGTCGATAGATTCTTATGGTGTAAACTGATACACTTTGAAGCAGTAGTAAAATACTTTATTTCCACGACTCTCCAACCATGGTAGAGGAAGATTTAGTCGTCGATTGTTAGCTCTCTGTAATGAAACTATCGTCGAGTGCAAAGGGTTAAAAGATGTTAAATTTTGAGATACCTCTACTGTTTCATTCGGTACTCGTAATCTAGAGTTATAATCAAGAACAGTGTCTAACCCTCTCGCTTCTGTACGTCCCCTTTATGTTCTGACAACCCTATGGGTCTTTGCACCGTGAAATCCGAATTTTGGAAAAAAGCAAGGGGATGAAATGCGTTCTTCTAATCGCGAAACTTGCCCGTCGGTTGCGAGTTTCTCGCGCAGCCGACGCTATTATTCCTCCCGGCGAGCGTAGCGACTGAAACAGAGCTGAGCTCGTTCGAACGAGGCGCAACTTTAGCGTCGGGACGTGGAAATACGCAGGCAGGAAGTAGCCGGAAGCAGTCCCCCGTGACTCTTTCCGAGATCGAGGTTGGGTCCACGGAGGAAAACGAGCGTGTCGGGCCCGCGAGCTTCGCTCTCCCCTGACGATCCTAAAACCGATGCACCATTTCATCCTCCGACTACTCCCCTCGTGCCAATGGAGTCCCACCATCGCCGCAACCGTCTTTTCAGGCTTTTTCTCTCTTTCTCTCTCTCTGTCGAGTGTTTATGGATCACAGACAACACTTCGACTCGCTCGAGTTTCTTTGTCGACTTTGTCTAGCTCTCCTGGAATCGTAACGAGCCCGAGGCCGCGCGTGTTGCGCCACCATTACTTAAAACTAAAATTAGTTCCTCGAGTGCACCCTCGTGGGCACGGTGCACAGGGAGCGCTGGAAATTGTTGGGATGTATCGGGAAAGACGAAATTGCCGAGGAGATGCTCCCGAGGACTCGAATACTGATGAAACTCACCGCCTACGCGGAATATTGTCTTACGAACGGAACAATTGTTTCGCGGTTATTGCGAAACTCTTGCTTCCACGGTATTCCGACTCGTGGGTGTGTCGATTGCTAAGCGCGACGTAAGCTTCTGTTTATGCTTGTTTTGATAGATATATGGGAAATGTGCGATCGACCGGTCGGCTGTGACGTACTCTTTTCAGACCGCGCACCTATGTGTGTCGTGAGAATCGAGCTACGACAGGTATAGTCGTCAAACACAGAGTAATATCGGATCGCAAAGACGGCTATATATTGGGTCATCCCAAAAATTCATGCCACTTATACTTTCGTTACTCAAATTAATCTGTGAGACATACTTTTAAATAACCAATGGTATCTAAACTTTACGAGTACACTCGTCGTGACACAAAATACTCCCTTTTTTCCGTAATGAGTATAATCGTAGCTGACTTACTAATCCTTAGAAGCCTGATTCTGCAGAAATTAAATTTAGCTGACAGTGCATGGGTTAAATATTGATTTACAAGGAACTTTTTTCCACGATTTTTAAGATAATGGTGTTATAAATAAATAAAGGATTGTATTATTTACGCGAATAGGAAGGAGTGGTACTCCAAGATTAAGTGTGAATAAAAGTAACTAACAAGTATTTATTTGCATTTAATAATGCTGAGTACGTCCCTATTTGTAGTAAATAACAAAGAAGTAGCCACTGGAATTACGAATAAATATTTATAATTAAATTTTCCAATATCTCGTATTTTCAATTTTGCTTATTTCGAGCAAACTGATTACAAGCCTCCCTTGAAAAGATTAATCTGAACAGTTCTGCGTTGCCACCTTTCTCCACTGAATTCGTTTGACACTTGATAATTATTAACTATTATTTTGGACATTTCGAATGTTTATTCATGGCTTCTTGATTCTATTTTGACTTTCATTGCACCTCAAGAATTCTCAAGATATTTATCCTATGCCAATATGTATTTCTAAAATTCATCTGACATTTTCGTTTCACTTTTAATTAAATAAGTCTTCGTAGTTAAAGATTTTATTTTGCTATAAAAGATTGTGGTTATTAATAGTACACAATTCCTCAAAAGCATATTTGGTGGAACTTTAACGAAAGCTTCATTTACAGCAAATTCAAGTTACTTATCCTTTTATAACGTGAACATAATTATTTGCACATACTTACATCCGTGAACGCCATTCAAACTGAGTTGTTTCATCGTCTTCTTGTTATTCCACGCACACGTTCGAAGCTAATACTACGAAACGCTTTGTATATATAACAGCGAAGATTAATTAAATCTGGTTGTAACTCATTAGTCGAGCGTACGTTTCTCGGATTTTGAATCGCAGAACAAGACGGCGCCACTTTTAATTATTTTAATTAACATCGATACGACTAAGAAATGGATGGATTAACATTGCCGATGGCGAGCTGAAGAGGGGCCACGCAAAAAGAGGTCACCTACATTATCATTTTTAATTAATAAGTCTACTGTGTAATAATATTAGTAGATAATATTATCCGTAATATTAAATTGATTAATGAATCATTTTTAAAGCTGAAGCAACGATATTTGCTATTTAACGTCGACGATATCCTGCGTTAAAAATTACTCAAAAAATACAAGTAGATTTTTGTGTACCATTGTATTTTTCATTATTACGTTTTGTCAACGTGGTGTAATTTTATGTTGCAGATTTACAGAATACCTCACTGTGAAAATTCGGGACCAACGTTATTCTACGCTTGGTGAGTCATACTTTTAAACTAAATTATCGAATAAAGAGGATTATAGTCAGCACTTTTGAACCAAATAACTTTTGGAAAAACATTCTTTTTATAGCTTCATCCCTTCGCGAGATATTTAACCGATTTAAACAAAATACCTTGTACATCGTTTCGTACCAAACAAGCGATTGGATGAAAAGCGTTAATAATAACACATTTCACGCGAGAATAAATTGAAAGAAAGTCTCGAGACCGAGTGTTAAAAAGCGAGGACGCGCGAGCCAGCAAGCGATAATGGTCGGTCAAAGGACAACCAGTGGAGTGGCGATCCTCTGCTAAATGCGGCGAAATTCCTCGGGTTTAATCGACACCGAGGTTTCGTGCTTGTGTTCTTCTTTCACGACGAAAGGAGGACGTAAGAAGGAACATAACACGTGCCTGTGTATGGGGGTTGAATGAGCAAAAGAGAGAGAGGGTTGGCCAAGAAGCGCCAGAGGGCACTTTCGGACTCGGAGGGGTCTGCCGCGAATAAACGCGACAGCGACAGTGGCTCTTCCACTCGGCACGTTTACGACGCCCGATAAAGAGAGCCAACGTGAACGGTCGATCTGATATTTTGAACATCCTTAAATGACATCGTGATGTCCTGCTTGTTCCTTCCCTTGGATTGCAATGAATAAGTTTGATATTTTAGCAATTCGCAATTCTCGATGCTTCGCAACTTTGTCTGCAATGCAGGAATAAGTTATCGGGGTGAATGTTACATCAATTTCTACCATGAGGTGTTTTTTTTACATCTTCAGGATGCACTCTAGTTCACAGCGTCAATTTTCAGGTATTTTAGATTTCTTTTTTCGATCCATTAATAATTCAAGAATGTACCTAAATCATTTTTAATGAAAATAATCAAACTGGATCCCATTACAAGTAATTTTGTACTCGAGTCCCTTTCGAGAAGAGTATATTCATGGTCTTGCTGCTTGTCTGAAATGAAAGAACTCGAAGGAAACCGGCAGCAGATATATTTTTCAAGATCTACATTTTGAGAGAAAGCCCCCAAAAATAGATTCGTTGAACGTTCTAGAGTAGGATACACCCTTAAAGATTTTATAAAATCGTCAACACTTAAATCATTTTACACTCAACTACGAAAACTGTAAAACAACGCGATTTCAATTGAAATTCGAAGATCTGAGAACGGTTAGCTTAAGGTCCCGCCAAGTCTAAATTTGCCAGCGCTGAAAGGGGTCGAACGTCCGTGTCTCCTAACTCGCCGAGACACCGTTCGGCAAACGGGATTCCCGATAAACAGGGATCGTCCTTTCCGCTTTTCGCTCCATCTTCTATTCAGCCCCTGTTGCCGTCTTCTGAATTCCATTCCGACTTTTCTTTCGTTGGGCGAGATCTCGGCTGGCCGATGGAAGCGTGCCGTGACGTGGAAATGCAAATTCTGTCCATGCGGCTCGTTGAATTATTATTTTAAATCCCGTAACGGCCATTTGCTACGGGAAAATCTCATGAAAATTAATTTATTTTAATGCACTCGGTCCACAGCGAGGCTGCAGCCCGAGAGGAAACGGGCAGACGAAGGTAACGGGGCACTGGCAGCGCCGTGAAAGATGGGGGCGGTGAACGAAAACGGAGAACGAAAACCCCGAGTGAAAGACGCAGACGGCAAATTAACGTTCGACTCGTGCTTCTTTCAACGCCCTCGTCCTCGCGAAAGGAACCCAGAATCTCGAATTCAGACCTGGCTGAAGGAGATATTCCGATCGCGCTTCGCTAGCCACGTGGATTCCCATCGTCTTGTCGCCGTCTAATACGGTTCCTCGGTCCACGTATTTCAAACATTTTCACGCTCGAGAACAAAAAAGGTCGAGATCGAGGCTTAACGACACCCGAGATTCCCCGCCAGTTGAGATCTCACTGTGGTGAAAGCAGTTTCAGGGAAACCCGAGGTGAAGTCCTAGGGGTGTGTTTATTCTTAATGTACACCTGTATGTCAGATGTACTGGGTGCTTTTAATATATGTCTTAGAGGTCTTAGATATTTTTAATATACACGTGTCTTGTAAATGTTTGCACTCAAGATCGAGGCGTGACGAGAACTGAGATTCTTCAACAGTTAAAATTCTTCTATAATGGAAGCATTTTTGGAGAACCTTGAGGTGCATTTACTCTTAATAACTTGTACTTTAGAGATAGGTCGTAGGTGTTTTTAATATAAACCTCTATAATGTACCTCAAAAATCACCCCAAGATTGTTCGTTAAAACCATAAATTTCAGCTTATTATTTGTATCTTCAGTTAAAATTCTAATACATCAGTTTCATGTGTATTATCTCTTCGTGACAACTTAAAATTCTAAATGAAAAATATTATTTCACTTTTGTTCCCTTCAAATTTCTTTGATCATATCTTACTAACGCCAAACCCAAACATAACCAACATCATTTGGGAGATTATCGCGGAATTCTAATCTTTTAAGAATTAAAGAAGACGAATTAAGAATTAGATCCGACAGAGCGGACGTTAGAACAAAAAAGCTGAGAAACTAGAAGAAATCTATGCTTTTTCGTATGTGAAGAAAGAATTCGATGCTTTTTGGTTTGTTTGTCCACATATCCTGAAGTGGTCATTGCTATAGACTTCTAAAAAATCAATTATTCTTATCACCTCCCTATCAGCTAGCGACACATTCACCGCGACTAAAGTAATCTTTAGTAAAAATCTCGGCGAATCTCGAGATACAGGTCATGAAAAGTTTCGTCTAGGATGCAGGATCCAGCAACGTTCCTGTGTTAATTCCAGGGCGAATCCTCCGCGCAGCTTCTTCGAGGAATCCCTAGAACGTCTTCTACCCAACGAGCGAGGAATCTATTCGATATCTATACAGCAACGCCGCACGCACCGGCGCAGAATTTCTGGTGATCTCGCGAATCGTACGAAGAACTTTACGGGACGATAATGGACAGATTTATGAGACGGCTTATAGATCCCCGAGTAAATCCAATTTTCGAGGTCGACACTCGCGTGCACCCGCCGCAGGGGAACACAGGATTTCCCCTGCGGGGTGTCGTAAGGCTCGCGTCGGGAACGAAAGGAAATCGTCGCGAGGAATCTCGTCGCGTTTTGCGTCACGGCTACAAATTGATACTTGCTTCGAGTCAGACGTCGTGGACAGGGGAGCTTAACGATTCGAAACACGAAGCGTTGTATCGAGTTGTCTCAAAAAGCTTTTTTCGCGTGTTACATTCAGCTGTTTCGTCTAGCATTGTTTATATAAGTAAAGAATCGCTCTTTTATTTTTATTCTTTTATTTTAAATGATTTGTTTAGGGTCGCATCAACGTCTAGGTTACTTTACTACGATTGCATTAAATATTAAAAGAAGTCAAGAAGTAATTTGCAATTTAATGAAATTCTCTGAGATTCGAGTAAAGTATTGAAATTGGTCTAAAAGAGGCAGAAGAATTTAGGAGTGTACAATACTCGCAAAAAATAGGCAAAGAACGCCCACTCGAGATAGGTCCGCAGATTAATTTCGACGAAGTCGAGGCAAAGAGTTATTTCAAGTGGGATTTCCATCTCAAATGTCTACAAAAGGCGTTTCAAGCTACTACCTCTTATGTAAATGGAGAATTGAAATATTCGTAGTATAAGTAGAATGAAAATTGTATCGACGAAGAAAAGTGAATGCTGTGGGTCAACATGTGCGTCATTGTGTATTACACATAGTTCGTTTGCATTTCCATCAAAGTAGATTCGGTAGCCAATATTCACCGGATTTTTTCATCTATTTTCGCGAGTGCTATACCATAGTATCTCTACGTTCTTTGATCTCTTTCTAGGTCATACTGTATTATTCGAATGTTATTCGAACCAGCTATTTTATTAAGCAAATATATAGAGAGCTACGATTTGAATTTTTCGTGGCAAGCTACCAAAAATATGTTCTAGATCGATTAAATAATATTTCGATGTGAGCAACAAGTAACAGAATTTGCAGAGCTATTAAATGTCCCTACGAGAAAGAGAATAAAAGAGAATCGTTGGTAATTTCTCAAAAAAGTCATCAAAATATTTTCCAATATTTAAAAATTGAATCAAAGTGAATTAAAATTGATACTCCAAATTTTCTTAAATACGAGAAATATATTTCAGAGACAGATACTTGGATACGTGGACAGCTACTTTAACAAGCAACCGTACGGTATCGGAGTTTAACCGAAGGGATCGATTCGAAAATTTGTTATCCGTTGAATCTAGATCGAAAAGCGGGTCGGCGTGCCTTCTTCCCTTATTAAATCGCCAGAGGAACATATCTTGGCAGCTCGTAAAAATTCCCAAGGAAATCCCCCGGTATCTTTAGCACGACCGAAATTACAATTTAAATAGCGACTCCCTTATTCATCGACCGTCAGATGTGAGCCCTCGCGACTTAAGGGTAGCTATCTTTTTCAGCGTGTCTCGCGAACGATGAAACGGGACAGCGAGCAGGGAAACGGGACAGGCGGGAGAGGGACGGATGCTCGGCCGACGACGACGTGCACCGAGAAACGATAGCGAGAAAGAAAACCCGGGTTGAACGTACAGATGGAAAGAGGAGGGGTGGAAAAGCGCGGGCGGGGAACGGGGACAGGGTGAATCGAAGAGCGAGGGAGACGGGCCAACGAAACGAAGGCAGAGGGAGGAATTCTTTGTGATGGGATTTGAGAGGCGAGCAAGGAGACGTTCTTGACTCAATGCTGTCCTTAAACCACAAAAAAGCTCGAGAAGTCCGAAAGCCAAGGGCTGAGTTCGCGGAAATGAAGATCTGTCGCGGTAGCCTTGTCGCTCTTGTTCTTCACCTTCTTCCCCTTTCGCTCTGGATTCGACGCACCGTGCGAGAGCTTCGCCTCTGCGCCTTGTCTTCCGTCTGTAGACATTGGGCTCTGAACCAGGCCTCGGACTACTTTTCTCATTTTTCTCTACTCGAATATTCGAAATTTCGCGAATCTTCGACGAATGCAATTCGAATACC